GACGGACATGGCTAAATCGACTCGGCTAGTGATCCTGATCAAAAATATATATATTTTATGGGGTCGGAAACGCTTCCTTCTGCCTGTTACATACTTTCCGACGAATCTAGTATATCCTTTTACTCTACGAGTAACGGGTATAACAAGGAAGAACGCTATAGTCGAGTACTATTAGATACCCGTTACTCAGCTAAAGGGACCAAAAGGAAATGGAGATATGCAAACAGCAAAGCGAGATTAAAATGCGCCACCTACCGGCGGTAGACAGATTTAAGCGTTATGGGCGTTAGAGTAGGCGCGGTAAATTTTAGATCAATCGATAGGTATTGACGAGACCAAGACTTTTCAGTTAAAAGTTTTTATCTACCATGCAAATTGTGGGCGTCACAGGCCTGGGCGGTTTGTGGGCGTTAAAGTGGGCGTGGCAAACATTTTTTTAGGTCAATCGATAGGTCTTGATGAGAACAATACATTTCAGTTACAATTTTTATTCTAGCATCAAAACTGTAGGAGCCACAGTTTTATGCGGTTTGTGGGCGTGGCATATTGCTGAAACAAACTTGCCTAGCTCAATAGGCTAGCTCTTATAGTTTCCGAGATCTCTGCGTTCATCCGGACGCGATCGCACTCGAATTCCGTTATAAGTTGGTGACGCAGCTGACTCGTACACTTCTGTAGACTCCAGAAAAAGATGGGTGTACGTATTTCTGTTTGTCGTTAAGCCCATATGCTTCAGCGTTTAATTCAAAGTTATTAAACCACTGCTGCACTGACATATTTTCTCCACTGAGCTCAGGAATTATTTTGGCTAAATTTTCCACTACCAGCTTCGCATCATTTTTTTTTGTCAATTTCATCGGCTCTAATTTTTAGCGTGACCAGATCTGGGAGCGTCTGTGTGTTTCCTTCTAAGACGTTTGTATCGTTTCGGCGATAGTTTCCACCTGTCCCTGATCCACTTGGGCCCTCGTATTTTTCCATTTTCTCATCCTTCCTTTTAACTTGTCTTAAAATTTCTGTTGCGCAATACCTTTACTATTAGCCTGCTTAAAAATACCGTTTTCTTTTTCTGATCTTCTTTCCTCCCGATTGAAGTCTTGTTTTCTCTGCTGGCGACTGGTTGAGCCTCCAAATGTAAGATATTATTGAATACGGTTTACTAATAGTATTTCGCGGTGCACAGGTAATTTCAAGAACAAATGGCTTTTATTAAACTGCTGGATAAATGCAGCTTCTTTCCGCTGTTTTTCCACACACGTTCGGCTGCTTCAATTCTCTCTTGCTTACTTTGCTGTTCGGCTGCTACTTTTACTTCTTCTACTCCTTCTGCTGTTACTCTGCTGTACGACGTCTGCTGCTGTTACTCTGCTGTTCGACTTCTGCTGCTGTTACTCTGCTGTTCGACTTCTGCTGCTGTTAACCAGTGTGCCTTTAGTAGATCTGCTTGCCTAATCTCTGTTACATATATCGAAAGGTATCGCAAAAACTAAAAGGATTGCGTACCTATAAATAAACCAATTGGTTTGGGAGAAAAAGCGTTCAAAAATTATACCCAGAAAATGTTTTAGCAGATTTCTTTTTATTTTTGGGTCCTGAAAAGTGTAGACAATGTTAAACAGCTTGATATAAGAAACTTTAGTTCTACCACTTTTGGAAAAACTCGCTTTCTTGGCGGGAAAACAGCTATAAGTAGCTACATTTCGTAAACCCGTAAATTGTGAACCATATGTCGTTAAAAGACATTTTGAAATACTTTGTACGCCTTTCTAATATAATTTGTCTAAATACCACCGCTTAAGAATTACGGGCAAAAGATTTGTTATTCCGATTTTTTAAAGCTTTTTTGATTTCTCAAAAACAGCTCTAACGATATGGATTACTTCTCAAAGTGCACATATAGCCCTTATGATTTCTCAATATTAGACTTAAGACACGATGTTGTAAAAAGTCACGTTTTAAAGTTATTAACCAACACAAATTGCCACATTTATCAGTTCAGAACATCGAGCGTTGCCTAAACATTCATCTTTTTTGTGCGTATCAAACTCAATTTTAAGGTCTTTGAAATTTTAGATGATGTTAAATAATTTAATATAAAAACTTTTGGAAATCTCACAAGAAGTCCGCTTTTGAGAATTGAATCGAGCAGTTGAAACGAGTGAAAAGTAAAGAGCAGTGAATATAAAATAAGTCGACCTATAATATTGTAATAGTAAACACGTAAAATTTAAAAACAGAAATAAAAAAAAAATTGTTTAATATTCACTAGTGAGACAGTTAATTTGGACGACCCAAAACTTTATTTATTTAAAAACGGCTTATTTTTCTTAAAAGGGCTTTGTCCAACGCTGACATGAGAAATTTACTAACAGCCATTTCAAAAAGAAACAGAAACAAAAAGGGTTTTTTGCTTAGTCAAAATATAAGTTGGGGGCTTAGGCAGCACAAATGATAGAAACACAGCTCGCCGGGAATAGATCTCAGGCTCATTACACACTTGAGGATTATTTTAATGTCTCTCAAGCCAATTGTTAATAGTTGCTTCCAACTTTCAAAGTTTCTGCCACAAAACTGCGGATATTATAATTGATAAATATTCTTGGTTACCAATGACAGCGACGGTACACAAAATTCTTGAACACTTAGCTGATATCATTCAGCACACTGTCCTTCCATTTGGTTACTTTGGAGAAGATGGGCCGAGTAGCACCATGCCAGAAAATGCAATTTTGAGAAAACTAAAACTAATTACAGAAAAATAAAGATAATGTTTTATTTTAATTAAATACTGTACATGCTTACCAAAATCGAAATATAACGGTCTTTGTATTATTTAAACATTAATTATCCGATCCGATATAAATGGTTTTCCAAGAGTACCGAGAACGTCGAAGTTAAATTTTTCTTACATTTTTAAACCCTTTACTCGTAGAGAAAGAGGGAATACCAGATTCATCGGAAAGTACGTAACAGGTAGAAGGACCCTCCAATGTATATAAGTTAGCAACAGCAATATTTCCGCATATTTTTCTCCGAAAATATTGCAACATTGTCAAGCACAAAGTTGCAGCCCAAGTTCAATAACATAAAGTTCAATAACATAAAGTTCAATAACATAAGCACGAGCATCCGGTCAGCCGCAACTAAGTACGGAATACGAATTCTGCAGACCCTGCAGATTCTGCAACCAAGCAATTTTGTCAACACTACCAACGCCGCTGCCAGCGCCGCTGCCGCCGAAGCCAACGTCGCTGCCCCAACCCACAGCTTTAAATAGGGATCGCTATGTAGAGTAGAGTAGTTCCGATTTGTATCTCGAATAAATAAGACATCTTAATCCAATTTTTGAAGTTTTAATTATTTGGAAATTAACTGGCGCCCGAACAGGGACCAGCGCGAGTAAATCCGATTAAGTTCGATCAGTGCTAATAAATCCGTGCAACTCCGTTGACTTTAAAGTGCAACGCGGGGACATCTGATTAAGTTCGATCCGTGCGGAAAATTATTAAGTGCAACTCCGCTGGCCCACTCAGGTCAGAATCAGAGGAACTCCTTCATAATAAAATTGAAGCTGAGGACGACAACCGGTCGACAAAATAATTGCTGATCCATCGGTGGACTACAAGTACTGTCAGGCAAGCCCGCAGGACATTCTCTATTCCGGTGCGTTGCAGCAACCAATTACAAATCAATAAAAGACGTAAAGTTTAAATTAAAATTTGAATCTAAAAATTATCAAACTCGAATTATTAAATTAAAATTAAATTTAAAAATTGAAATCCAAATAAAATCAAACATAAATAATATTGCACAAAATTAAAATTTAATAATATTGCACCAAATTAAAATTAAAAAAAAACATTAAAATTTTAAACTACAATTTAAGAAATTATATTAAAAATTTTAAACATTTTTTTCCCCCAACAATTTTACCTTTACCATTTAATTTCACATTAATATTATTATATTTGAAATGAAAACTACTTTAATGCGTAAGACACACCCATGAATATTCCCCTTCTTTATAAAAACAAATGGCCAATCAGCGAAATCTCATAAGACCCCCCATTATCAATTTTGAACAACAACAGCCAGAAGAACCCAACGCAGTTTTAGAACAGCAAGTAAATCCAAACCAAATTCATTTAGTTCAGCAACTTCAGAGACTAGAAATTCAACAACAACAACACAGGAATAACATGGCAACAGAAGAATTACAGGCAGCCGTCAGGCAAATACTTGCAGAGCAATTACCAGTTTTATTAAGACAAGCACAAAATCCAGGGATTGATTTCGCATGTGCCCCAAATCAAGAAATTTTTCTAGAAAATAGAGGTAATCTCGAAGGTCTAGACAGGGTACCAGACATAGTAAAAAGTCTGCGAAAATTTTCAGGAAATCCAGCGGAATTTAGTTCTTGGAAAAAAGGAGTCGATAGAGTGCTAAAAGCATATGAAAACACTGTAGGAACCTCTAAATATTTTGGTATTTTACACACTATTCGTAACAAAATAACGGGAAATGCAGACACTGCATTGGAATCCTACAACATTCCATTAAATTGGAATGCTATCTTGAAATGTCTAACCCTCCATTACGCAGATAAACGGGATATAGGAACCCTTGAGTACCAAATGACGACGATTAGCCAGGGCACTAATCAGACTGTAGAAGAGTTCCATCAGGCGGTCTACAAACATCTGTCCCTGATACTTAATAAAATAGGCTGTATGGAATTAGGACCTGAAGCAGAACAACTGATGACCAAAATGTATAGAGACAAAGCCTTAGACACTTTTGTACGCGGACTTCGTGGCGACTTATCTCGCCTACTTGGTATGAAAGAACCTGCTGACCTTCCGGCAGCATTGCACCTATGCTTAAAGCTTGAGAATCAGGCATTCCGCGCTAACCACGCTACCAACAGAGGGCAACAATCGTCCTTCAAGAATGCACCTTCACGGTTCGTGCCACAAATGCAACCAATTTGGCCACAATGGTCAATCCCTACAGGGAACGCCCAGTTCCAGACTCCCTTTGCACAACCCAACTCAAATAGACATTATAATCTACACCGACAACCATTCAATGGCAACCAGAACTTACAAGTGGCCCCATATGTAACGGCCCGGCCTTCAGGAAGCCAACCACCCCCTCGACCTTTGGCCGCAAAGCCACAACCACGAAAAAAATCTAGGAACTTTAATATTCAATCAGCTACGGGTACTTCCACGGAAGTAAAAGAAGAATCACCATCACTCGAAGATTACGACCAAACTCTAAAAACTCAAGAGGAAACCCCGACCGATTACCATGAAACTCTTTCCGATTATTGTGACACAATAGATCAGGCAGACCAGGAATACCCATATTACTACACACACCTTAATTTTTTAGAATAACCAACTCCTCATTACCATATTTTGAAAGTAAATTGAGGAGTGGAGAAACACTAAAAATTCTTATTGATACCGGTTAAAATAAAAATTACATCCTACATAAATTCATAAAAAATCCAGTAAAAAACATATCCTCATTCGATGCCATATCGGTTGACGGAAAAATCAAAGTCACACACCATGAAATAGCAAACCTATTCGACGACACCGATACGAAAATCAAATTCTTTTTGTTACCAACATTAAATACATTTGATGCCATATTGGGAAATGACAGTTTAAAAGAGTTAGGAGCAATAATCGATACCAACAATAAAACCATGTCATTAAAATCCGGCAGAGTCATAGCTATAAAAGAAGAAAAAATAGAAACAGTCAACCTAATTATTCCTCGGACAGACCATCTTAAAAAGACACAAACAATAGAACTAAACCAACTCCTCCGAAAATACCCAAAACTCTTTGCTGAACCCGACGAAAAACTGACCTACACCACAAATGTGAAAGCTGAAATTCGTACATACACTGACACTCCAGTTTACTCAAAATTTTACCAATATCCTATGGCACTTAAAGACGAAATAGACCGACAGATAGAAGAACTTTTAGAAAACAATATAATACGACCCTCAAGATCACCTTACAACTCACCAGTTCAGGTTCAGATAGTTCAGATAGTTCCAACATAAAACAAGGGAGAACGCTATAGTCGAGTACCTCGACTATCAGATACCCGTTACTCAGCTAAATGGAGATATGCAAGCAGCACAGCGAGATTAAAATGCGCCACCTACCGGCGTTAGAGTGGGCGTGGCAAATTTTTTTTTGGATCAATCGATAGGTATTGACGAGACCAATACATTTTGTAAGGACCTTTTTCATGGGCTGGGATAAAACTCAGTCCGGCCAGGGTCCTCTACAGTTAAATTTGTAGAAAGGAGTTGGGACGAAACTGGACGGGGAGTTGCCGCGGGGATTTGTGGGGAAAGGAGGCCAGAGTATCCGCGTTGCACCGAGTAGGCAGCTCTAGCGCAACACGGCACCCGAAAGGTATAGGAGAGGGCGGGGCTGCTCCCGGCGAAAATACTAACGAAACGAGCGGCGTAGCCGATCCCTGAGAAAATACCAACAAAACTGGACGGCGTGGCCGTTCCCCCTGGATGTGCGACTCACAAGCTACTGGGGTAGGGGGGTAGGGATCCGAGGGGAGGATGGCCGGAGGCGACCCTTCCCTGTGCTCCCTGTGGTCGATCGAGTGGTCGTTTGCACTGAGTAGGCTTCTCTGGCGCAACCCGATTCCCGACCGGCACAGATCACTGCACGTGGCTCGCGACTACCTAAACCGTATTTGGGGCGGGGTTCCCAGGAGAGGGTGGCCAGATGCGATCCTTTCCTATGCTCCTTGTGGGCGATCGGGTGGTCGTTTGCACTGAGTAAGCAGCTCTGGCGCAACACGATTCCCGACCGGCACAAATCACTGCACGTGGCTCGCGCCTACCTAAACCGTAATTGGGGCGGGGCTCCCAGGAGAGGGTGGCCAGATGCGATCCTTTCCTATGCTCCTTGTGGGCGATCGGGTGGTCGTGTGCACTGAGTAAGCAGCTCTGGCGCAACACGATTCCCGACCGGCACAAATCACTGCACGTGGCTCGCGCCTACCTAACCCGTAATTGGGGCGGGGCTCCCGCCTCTCAGTCTGGTAAGTCTTTATGTGATGCGGTGGCACCACAATACCATTAATAGTCCATGTCAAATTAGCAGCCGGTTTCGAGTATTTAATTGAGCAATTGCCGTCGACCAAATCGCCGATGCGATAACGTGCCTGTATCCCGGTAACCACAGTGTGCTCTTCCGGCAGCTCAACCACCTCCATTTCGCCGGACACCATGGCCGTTTGAAAAGTGGGCGCCTCCACGGATATTTCACATGTAAATTTTCCCGAAATATTCAGCGGCACCGACTGCAGGACTACGTGGCTCTGATTCGAAAGGTTGCGCTCGACATTGAGACCACTTGTCATGGCAAAGACCTTCATAGCCGAATTCTCCTTGGGCGTGTAGCGATAAAACTCACGCTTGCCCTTATACCATTTCACCGAATATAGAGTATCGTTTTCCATATCGTAATTACACGTGAACAGCGCGTTGCTGCCACGTTTCACCGCCTGTGGTATCATTACCGACACATCCTTGAGTGCCACAATAAAATCAGGCACAAGGACGAGTATGAGCACCAAGGATATCCAGCAAACGCAGCCACGCCCACTGAAGGGTCCATACCCCTGGAATCCACAGTCCTTCTTCGTCCTCCACTTGTTGGCCATTTGCATGTGATGGGTCGGAATAGTCGTTGTCGGCATTGAAATAGATTTTTTAACTATTTTCTATCTGTAGAGGATGTGCTCTTCTTTTTTGCTATTTCTTTCTCGATATTCCTTCGCTTCCGTTAGGGCCTTTTATATACATATATATTGGCCAATAAATGTCAATTGAATTTGACCTATTTCTGAGTTTTGTGAGGAGAATGCCCAGTCTTTGGATCCGGCGTGCCGATGCTCGTGCCGCTGTACCACTCCGGGTTGAAGTCCGCTCCTAGGTCTGGTCGCCTTTTCTGCCATTCGGGAATGAGAGCGAGCTTCCGCCCTTGCGTCCGCATGTAAGCCCGGCTTGCCGGGTTTCTTCCTTTCCCAACACAGTTTCTTATCGAACCTCCCGCCTATCGCTATCGGCACTATCAGCTGTTGGCCCTCGGTCGACCAACACTGGGTGGTTTTCCAGCCCTGGTGCGCGCAATATTTAAATCGGATAAGCTTAGCTTCTAGTTTGAACTTATATAAATTGCCTTCGTGGCGTAATCTCCAATTGTATGCCTTCGTGGCCGAAAGAATAGAAATGGCGAAATGTGGAGGGTGTGTTTCACGCATCCTCACACCCCCCCCATTCTTCGGCGTGATTATGGCGGAGGGAAACGATCACCTCCCGCCCGGCGGTGATGGTGACTCGGAACCGATGACCCTCGATCTGGCGCAGGTAGCGCACCCTCCGTCGATCCTGCTCCTGGATGGATGCGACTAGGGCTGTAGGCAGTCGTCGCTGGTGGGTGTCTACCCTCCAGCCGACTGGGGCGACGATCCACTGGGATCCAAACTTTTTTTGTGGTGGCGGCCTTGTTCCTGAGAAGCCATCTGGTTGGTTTCCAGCGCAGTGCGGAAAGCTTCCTGAAGTCGTTTAGCTCGCTCAGTGGGGTCCAACGGCGACGAGTGTAGACCAGGCGTGACCACATCAAAGAGGGCCCCTGGCAATCTGAGTTCCCTACCCTGCACCAGGTAGGCGGGGCTGAAACCGGTGCTATCTGAGATGCTCGTGTTTATGGCCAGCGAGATCTCTGGCAGTAGCTGATCCCATGTCCTGTGATCCTGGTCCACGTACTGGGCTATCATTGTCTTGATGGTCCGGTTTGCCCGTTCGGTGGGGTTCTGCTGCGGGGAATAGGGAGCTGTGTATTCCAGTTTGATGCCGTTAGTGCGACAGAATGTCTTGAAACCGCGGCTGGTGAACTGCGTGCCGTTGTCGCAGATCAAAGTCCTGGGTGCTCCAAAGCGGGATATTATCCTTTCCCGAAATCCAAACTCCAGTTGGGCGGCTGTGGCCTTCTTTAGGGGTATGATCTCGACCCATTTGGAAAAGACATCTATAAATACGAGCAGCATGGTATTCCCTCGTCGGGTCCGAGGAAGAGGTCCAACGAAGTCGGCTCCGACGAGCGCAAATGGCTCCGTGGGATGGCGGGTGAGCATTTTGCTCGCCGGTTTGCGTTGACTCACCTTGTATTGTTGGCAAACCAAGCACCTGGTGACGTACCGCACAACGTCTCGATGTAATCCCGGCCAGAAATATCGTTGGGCAATCCGTCTGCGAGTCTTCCGGATGCCCAGGTGACCAGCAGAAGGGTGGTCGTGGCATTCCTCCAGCACTCGTTGTCTCTGCTCCCGAGGCACGCAAAGCTTCCATGGGTTGCTGTTTCCCACGTCTGAGGTGTGTCCGATGTGTCGATACAGCTGTCCGTGATCCAGAGTGTAATCCGGAAACTTTTCGGGGCGCCTCTGGACTTCTTCTTGCATCCTCCGGATCCATTTGCACTGAGTTCCGTGTTCCGCGAGCAGCTGAAGCATCCCTAGGGGTTGTCGGGAGAGGGCGTCGGCGACAACGTTGTATTTGCCCTTCCGATAGAGGACGGTAAACTGGTATTGTTGCAGCTCCAGAGCCCACCGGGCTATACGGCCCGTGCGGTTTTCAATCGAGTTCAACCACTTGAGAGCGAGGTGATCCGTAATCACGTCAAACTGGTAGCCCTCCAAGTAGCAGCGTAGCTTCCGCGTGGCCCAAACTATGGCGAGGCACTCCTTTTCGGTAGTGGAGTAGTTTTCCTCGGCTCGCTCGAGGCGTCGACTTACGTAGGCGATGACCTTCTCCTCTCCATCGATGCTCTGAGTGAGGACTGCTCCAAGTCCTGTATCACTTGCATCCGTCTGAAGCTGGAACTTGTATTCAAAATTTGGGCAGGCCAGTACCGGTGCGGCCGTTAGTCTGGCTTTGAGTGTCTCAAATGCCTGCTGTTGGGGCTCCTCCCAGCTCCACTTGACCCCCTTCCTGAGGAGTCGGGACATGGGCTGAACGATGGAGGCGAAATCCTGGACGAAGCGTCGATACCAAGATGCGATGCCCAAATGGCGACGGACTTCCTTGACGTTGGTTGGCGGGCGTAGTCCCTGGATAGCAGCTATCTTATCTGGGTCCGTCCTGATGCCTTCTTCGCTGATCAAGTGGCCTAAGTATACCAGCTTTTTCTGGAAAAACTTGCACTTGCCTTGATTCAGCCGAAACTTTGCTTCCCGCAGTCGTCGGAAGACTTCCCTGAGATTCCTGGCATGTTCCTCCCACGTCGCCCCGATGACGATGATGTCATCCAAGTAGGCAAAGGCGTGGGGTTCCATATCCGGCCCGATGACGCTGTCAAGGGCTCGCTGGAACGTTGCTGGGGCAGAATGCAGTCCAAAGGGCATGACTTTCCAGTGGAAGAGTCCACGCCCAGGGACGGTAAAAGCCGTGCATTCGCGGCTTCCTTCCGCCATAGGGATCTGCCAGTATCCATTCTTAAGATCCAGCGTTGAGATGAACCGGGCGTTCCGTAGCCGCTCCAATATGTGGTTGATTCGTGGGAGTGGGTACGCATCGGGTATGGAATGTGCGTTGAGTTGTCGATAGTCGACGCACATCCGCATATCCCCTGTCGTCTTCCGCACGAGCACCAGCGGGGCACTGTGCGGGCTACGGGAGGGCTCGATTCGGTCATCTCGTAATAGCTCGTCCAACTGCTGATTGATTATGCTCTGCATGGCGGGGTTCTTTGGATAATACCACTGCTTTAGTGGCTTATTCTCCCGGGGAGTGATGGTATGCTCGGCGATCTCCGTTGGCCCGCTTAGCTCGTCGAAAAGCTGTAGCTCCTCCTGCAGAAAGTGGGCGGTTTCCTCGGCGTGAGGTTCTTCGGTCACCTGTAGCCTGGTTGGGTCCTCCGCTACAGTGGCCAGGTGTCCGTGGGGACAGTGGCTCCGGAACGGGTTGTGCTTCCGTGCGCTGCCTGCGTCCGACTGGGCTGGCAGCTGATATACACCGATTTTCCGTTGTGGTTCCCCAGGCCCAGGTGAGGTGGCTGGTTTGCGCGTGTGAGTTTCCACCGTTGTGGTGGCCAACAGGGCGCTCGTGGAGGGGCGTCGAAACGGGTTCTTCTCCTTTGCCGTGGCGGCGTCCGCCTGCGGTTGTAGGCCGTACCTGTTATCCGTGGTGATGCAGGTTCCCGCGGTGTCGCCTGACGGGTTCCTTGACAACGGGGGTCCCGAGGGGTCAGGACTTGTCTTCAGCACTGGCGCGTTTGGCTTTATGTGAGTCCTCGGAGCAGGCTTTGGGACTGTTTTGGTCCCCCCCTCGGTGCCTTGCGATGATTGCGGCGTACCGGGTGTCCTTGGGGATTGCGCGGTTGCGGCCGTAGGAGTCCCCCGCGTATCTGGGGTTGGTTCTACCTTCCGGGTGGCAGGTGGGGCTAGTTGCAAACAGACTTGCCCGCAGATTAGAGTTGCGCTGATGGCGCAAAGAAAGTCGATGCCCAAAATCACTTCATCCAGGATCGTTGGCAGGACTAGTAGCGTCAGCCCGATCTGTCGGTCGTTTAAGCCGACTTGCGCCCGGAGGGCCTTGGTCACCTCTTTCTGGGATCCATCCGCCAGAGAGATGCGGGAGAGAACTTCTCTGCTGTTTCTTCCTGAGTCTAAGCGCTTGGCGATCGCTTCGCTGACAAAGCTTCGCGAGGCTCCTGTGTCAATTGTTGCCGAGAAAGGTTGTCCCTCGATGGTAACATTGGCAACCATTCGCCCCCCCGCCAGGCGGAGTGGGGAATCTAGTGATGGGGGAGCACCGAGTGGGTCACCGCGGGCTTCCGACGTGGGCGGCGACCCTGGCCGTTTTCCGTCCGGCGGCAGCAGTCGATGGTACGGATGCTTCGTTTCCCACAGTCCCAGCAGTACATCAGCGGTGGGTTTCGACATTCTCGTGTGAAGTGTCCAATTTCTCCGCAGCGGTGACAAGCTCGGCCGACGTCAACCGGTGGTTCCGCTTCCTGGGCGATCATCCCGTTGGATATCGCCGGCCTCCTGGGTCCAGAGGGCGTTGGAGCGAGAAAGTTCTGGGGTCGAGGTGTGGGTCTTCCGCTGCTCTCCCTGCCGGAATTCCAGCTTGCGGTTGGAATTAGGGCTGCATGTCGAACGGGGTCTCGATCCCGTGCGATTTCGAACGCAGTTGCCAGTTGGGTAAGCCCCTCTAGTGAGGAGAACTCATGTCGCCGTATGAAAAGCTGGTACTCCGGCATCAAATTCTCGTAGATCCGCTCGAGCTCCTGGCCTAGTGAGTACTTGGCGCGTTGCATCATCAGGCGTAATTCCACTACGTATATTTTGAAGGGCTCGCCCACTTGTTGTTGCCTGGTCCGGATGGCATCTTCTAGGCTCTGGTAGTACCGCGGAGGCAAGAAAAACTCCAGAAACTCTCTCCGGAAAGTTTCCCATGGCTCGGTGTGCATTTGGTATGCCCGGTACCAGCCTTCGGCGCGGCCTGAGAGAAGTCCAATGACGGCCCTCGGTATGTCACTCGTTCTCACATTGTAGGCAGTGGCACCTTCCTCGATGCGTTCTATAAAATGAACGGGGTCTGACTGTCCGTCAAACAGTACGCCCCATCCTCGCAGTTTCTCGGCGAACACTGCCGCGGATATAGGGCTGTGCGGAAGATGGGCGGCTGGGTTGGCGGCCGGTATCTCCCGTCCAGGGCTTTTCCGTAGGTTCCCTAAGCAGGGCACGGGAAGCGTGTGATCCTCAATTCCGGGCATCGGTGAGGTGGCCCGACTGGTGGACGTCCTCTGGGTGGGTGCTTCCGGGTATATTGCCTCCAGTGCGGCAAAGCGCTCTCGTAGAGCCGGGCTGTGGTCTCCTCCTCCGATGAAGGATGCCAATCGTGGTCGTAGTTCGTCTACTTGGCCGTTCGGGTCAAGTCCAAACTCTTTTAGCAGAGCCTGCAGCTCGTCCTTCCGGCGGTAGGCGATCCACCTGACCCCCATGTTTGCGGTCGTGGAATCACCCCCGGATGCGGTGAAAAACCTGTCCTCTTCCAGTCCGGCAGCTGCCGGATCTGGCTTTGATTCTGCGTCCTCTGACGTTTTCTTTCCCGAGACACTGGGCATACGCGCGGTGGCGCTGCCGATGGCTCTGCTGGGGATCACTTGGTGAGCGCTCCTAGTGGCGTGACTGGGCGCTGGGCGCACGGCAGGTGCTGCTGACGTGCGGCACTGGCTGACCGATGTGGTTGCGGCTAGCGCTCCCGTTGGCGCTCGGTGAGTGCGGCTGGTGAGCGGCGGCGCTGATCGTTGGGCGCTCCTGGTGGCGCTCGTAGCGTGGCTAGTGACCACGTATCCGGCGCGGTTGGCGCTGCTGATGGGCGCTGCTGTGGGCGCTACTGGTGGCGCTCGGTGGGCACTCGGTAGGCACCCGGTGGGTGCTGCTGGTGGTGCAAATGACGCCGCCCGATGGGCGCTGAACGCTGCGGAGGGCGCGGGGCCGCTCGTTGCGCGCTCCTGGTGACGCTCGTTGTGTGGCTGGTGACCACGTGTCCGGCGCTGTCGGCGCTGCTGGTGGCGCTCTGTGGGCACCTGATGGCCACGTGGGTGGCACTGCACGGCGCGGGACGCTGCTGGGTCTAACGCTGCTGAGGGCGCGGTGGCCGCGCTGTGCGTGCTCCTGGTGGGCACGTGGGTGGGTGCCGCTGGTGGTGCACTGACGCCGATCGCTGGACGCTTGTTGGGCGCTGCTGGGCCGCTCTGTTGGCGCTGCTCGGGGCGCGGTATGCGCTTGACGGCTTTGTGGGAGACCACGTGGCTATGTGGCGCTCCGGGAGTGGGTTGGCATTGGCGGGCGCAGCGTTACGGGATCCCCTACTCTAACTATTCCTGCGGTCTCCTATCTTTCTCTAAATCTCGTCTACTGGACATGGGTCTTTAGGCCATGCGGTTGGTGGTAAAAACCCAACTCTCCTGAAGGATAGTCGTCCTTATTCGTCCCTGTTCGGGCGCCAAACTGTAAGGACCTTTTTCATGGGCTGGGATAAAACTCAGTCCGGCCAGGGTCCTCTACAGTTAAATTTGTAGAAAGGAGTTGGGACGAAACTGGACGGGGAGTTGCCGCGGGGATTTGTGGGGAAAGGAGGCCAGAGTATCCGCGTTGCACCGAGTAGGCAGCTCTAGCGCAACACGGCACCCGAAAGGTATAGAAGAGGGCGGGGCTGCTCCCGGCGAAAATACTAACGAAACGAGCGGCGTAGCCGATCCCTGAGAAAATACCAACAAAACTGGACGGCGTGGCCGTTCCCCCTGGATGTGCGACTCACAAGCTACTGGGGTAGGGGGGTAGGGATCCGAGGGGAGGATGGCCGGAGGCGACCCTTCCCTGTGCTCCCTGTGGTCGATCGAGTGGTCGTTTGCACTGAGTAGGCTTCTCTGGCGCAACCCGATTCCCGACCGGCACAGATCACTGCACGTGGCTCGCGACTACCTAAACCGTATTTGGGGCGGGGTTCCCAGGAGAGGGTGGCCAGATGCGATCCTTTCCTATGCTCCTTGTGGGCGATCGGGTGGTCGTTTGCACTGAGTAAGCAGCTCTGGCGCAACACGATTCCCGACCGGCACAAATCACTGCACGTGGCTCGCGCCTACCTAAACCGTAATTGGGGCGGGGCTCCCAGGAGAGGGTGGCCAGATGCGATCCTTTCCTATGCTCCTTGTGGGCGATCGGGTGGTCGTGTGCACTGAGTAAGCAGCTCTGGCGCAACACGATTCCCGACCGGCACAAATCACTGCACGTGGCTCGCGCCTACCTAAACCGTAATTGGGGCGGGGCTCCCGTCTCTCAGTCTGGTAAGTCTTTATGTGATGCGGTGGCACCACAATACCATTAATAGTCCATGTCAAATTAGCAGCCGGTTTCGAGTACTTAATTGAGCAATTGCCGTCGACCAAATCGCCGATGCGATAACGTGCCTGTATCCCGGTAACCACAGTGTGCTCTTCCGGCAGCTCAACCACCTCCATTTCGCCGGACACCATGGCCGTTTGAAAAGTGGGCGCCTCCACGGATATTTCCCATGTAAATTTTCCCGAAATATTCAGCGGCACCGACTGCAGGACTACGTGGCTCTGATTCGAAAGGTTGCGCTCGACATTGAGACCACTTGTCATGGCAAAGACCTTCATAGCCGAATTCTCCTTGGGCGTGTAGCGATAAAACTCACGCTTGCCCTTATACCATTTCACCGAATATAGAGTATCGTTTTCCATATCGTAATTACACGTGAACAGCGCGTTGCTGCCACGTTTCACCGCCTGTGGTATCATTACCGACACATCCTTGAGTGCCAAAATAAAATCAGGCACAAGGACGAGTATGAGCACCAAGGATATCCAGCAAACGCAGCCACGCCCACTGAAGGGTCCATACCCCTGGAATCCACAGTCCTTCTTCGTCCTCCACTTGTTGGCCATTTGCATGTGATGGGTCGGAATAGTCGTTGTCGGCATTGAAATAGATATTTTAACTATTTTCTATCTGTAGAGGATGTGCTCTACTTTTTTGCTATTTCTTTCTCGATATTCCTTCGCTTCCGTTAGTGCCTTTTATATACATATATATTGGCCAATAAATGTCAATTGAATTTGACCTATTTCTGAGTTTTGTGAGGAGAATGCCCAGTCCATGGATCCGGCGTGCCGATGCTCGTGCCGCTGTACCACTCCGGGTTGAAGTCCGCTCCTAGGTCTGGTCGCCTTTTCTGCCATTCGGGAATGAGAGCGAGCTTCCGCCCTTGCGGCCGCATGTAAGCCCGGCTTGCCGGGTTTCTTCGTTTCCCAACACAGTTTCTTATCGAACCTCCCGCCTATCGCTATCGGCACTATCAGCTGTTGGTCGATTAACACTGGGTGGTTTTCCAGCCCTGGTGCGCGCAATATTTAAATCGGATAAGCTTAGCTTCTAGTTTGAACTTATATAAATTGCCTTCGTGGCGTGCCTTTTACTCTACGAGTAACGGGTATAAAAATACAGAATGGTAATAGACTACAGGAAATTAAATAGTGTAACAATTGCAGACAGATACCCCATACCAGATATTAATGGAGTTTTAGCACAATTAGGAAATAATAAAATGTTTTCTGTGTTGGATCTCAAGAGCGGGTTCCATCAAATTCCTTTAAAAGAAAGTGATGTGGAAAAAACTGCCTTTTCCGTGAACAACGGTTCACAAGACTTCCATTTGGGCTAAAAAACGCGCAATCCATATTTCAAAGAGCATTAGACGACATTCTTAGGAAACACATAGGTAAAATCTGTTACATTTATATCGACGATATAACTGTATTTAGTCCGGACGCTGAAACCCATTCCAAAAACTTAGAAAAAATATTTGAGACCTTAAATAATGCCAATATCAAATGCCAACTAGACAAGTGCGAGTTCTATAAAAATAAAGTTGAATTCTTAGGTTTTGTAATATCAGATAAAGGAATAGAGACAAATCCCAAAAAGGTAGAAGCGATCGCCAACTACCCTTGTCCCAAAACTGTAAAAGAATTAAGAGCATTCCTTGGACTGTCTGGATATTATAGGAGATTTATTATGGGATACTCCACACTAGCAAAACCCCTCACGACTTTACTTAGAGGCGAGGACGGGCGTATTTCAAAAAAGGCTTCATCGAGGAAAACCATCCACCTCAACGATGAAGCTATGCAAGCTTTTGATAAACTTAAAAGCACCCTAATATCAAAGGACGTAATATTACAATACCCTAACTTTAATGAGGAATTCGTACTAACAACAGACGCTTCCGACCACGCAATAGGAGCAGTACTTTCACAAAAGGACAGACCAATAGCTTTCATATCCAGAACCCTATCACAAACAGAAGAAAACTACGAAACAGCTAAAAAAGAAATGTTAGCCATCTCTTGGGCAGTAAAATCGCTTAGAGGATACCTTTACGGTGGAACCAAAGTTAAAATTTACACCGATCACGAACCACTTACACACGATTGTAACTGGAAAGGAGGAATCGCAATAAAGAGATGGAAATCATACCTTGACGAATACAACAAAGAATTACTTTACAAACCCGGAAAAGAAAACGTAGTGGCTGATGCCTTATCCAGAATCCCAAAAACCAACGAAATTAATTCATTAACCATAACACAACATAGCGCTCAGAGTTCTGGCCACAATCTTATTTACAACGTAGAAGCACCCATAAATGCATTTAAAAATCAAATATTCATTCATAAAGAAAATCCCCCTATTTATAAATTCACTATTCCATTCCCAACATTTCATCGGCACATTATCACTCAACCAAACCTTCAAAAAAACACTTTTATAGAATTACTAAAAAAATATTTAAATCCTTCAGTCATAAATGGAATATTTACAACGGAAGAAATAATGGGAGAAATACAAAGAATTTATCCGGAACATTTTAGATCTTTTAAAATCAGGTTCACACAGAATAAGGTAGAAGACGTAACAAACGAAAGTGACCAAGAAGAAATCATATTAGAAACCCATAACAGAGCCCACAGAAATTCAGAAGAAAATAAAATGCAGCTTGCAGAAAAATATTACTTTCCTAAAATGAAACAAAAAGTTACAAATTTAGTTAAACAATGCAAAGTGTGTAAAGAAGGAAAATACGATAGACACCCACCTAACCCAGAAATTACAGAAACTCCAATTCCTGAATACCCAGGACATGTAATTCACATTGACATTTTTTCCACAGAAAGAAAATTAGTTTTGACCGCAATAGACAAATTTTCAAAATTAGCACAGGCTAAAATTATCAAATCTAAATCAACAGAAGACATTAAAAAACAGCTACACGATATTCTATTTTACTACGGTGTACCGAAATACGTTGTAATGGATAATGAAAAATCTTTTTACTCAGCACCCATTAATTTTATGATGAAAGATCAATTAAATATTACCATTTTTAGAGCCCCACCTTATAAAAGTTCAGTTAACGGTCAGATAGACTCTTTCTGAAATAATGCGATGCATTAAGACAAAACAAATTTACAATACTTTTGAAGAACTATTAAATAGAGCCGTTTACGAATATAATTACACAATCCACTCCTTTACAAAAAAACGACCGTTAGAAATATTTTTTGGAAGAAACGTTACTACTGATCCAGAACAATATGAAAAAAGCAGACGCGATAATATAGAAAACCTCCAACAAAAACAAAAATTTGACCTCGAAAACCACAACAAAAAAAGAAAAGAAATAAAAACTTATTTACCAGGGCAAGAAATTTTTGTTAAGCAAAATACAAGATTAGGATCAAAACTATCTCCACGCTTTAAAAAAGAAATTGTCAAAGAAAATAGAAATACAACCGTAGTTACTGAAGCGGGAAGGATTGTTCACAAAAGTAATATTAAAGGAGATTAGGTCCCACACTCCGTAGGAAAATTTTTTTGTAGGGAAATTTTTTTGTCCATCTTTGTCCGAAATTAAAAAAAAAAAAAAACCCATTACCCATAACCCTAAAAAAACCGATGTTTAATGGAATTTTTTTTTTATTACAGGATATTGTTCCTAACAATATTATTACCATTGGTAACCGCGACCACCGACATAACAAACTATACTGACGCTCATACCATATCATCAATAAAAGTTATCCATTTAATTAATCTAAGCCACCTCGAACATGAATTACTTGAAATAAGGGAACACACACAAACCAGATAAAAAAAATAGCTATCACTACCATACTCTAACACACGAAATAATACAATCACTCACAGCAATTAGTACACTTACAATAGAACCAAAAAAACGCCACACCAGATCAATATATATGATCGGCTCAGCCTGGAAATACATCGCAGGTAGTCCAGATCATGAAGATTTAGTAATGATAGAAGAAAATTTAAACAACCTAGCAATAAACAACAATGAGCAAATAATAATTAATAACCAACTTCAGGACAGAATTAATAACTTAACCACAATTTCGAACATGTTAACAAACACTATTCAGAATGACAATCGTTTTAGTAATGAAATTGCATCAAATTTACAAAATCAAGTTAGACTAATAAAAGAAGAAATACGAAACATTAAATTCGCAATACAATGGGCCAAATTTAACGTAATAAATACCCTATTATTAAATGAATTCGAGTTAATTGAAATAAACAAGATATTCCAAAGAAATAATATCTCCTCCTTTTCCGTTGAAGAAATGTTAGAATTTGTTGATGTGTCTGTCTTACAAAATAAAACAACTATTATTTACATGATCAAAATTACCGAACTTGAACCATGCAACTACGAAAATTTTGTAATTAAACCTGTTATTAAGAACCAATCAGTAGTACATTTAGATATTAACGAAATTTTTGTATCAAACAATAAAATATTAGCCTTACCCAAAAATTGTAAAGCATCCAACCTCATTAAAATTTGTAAGCAAGAAAACACAATAGACCTAAGAGAATCGAAATGTATTTCTAAATTAGTTCAGGGAAAGGAATCGCTGTGTGACTATAGTAACTTGGACCACATAGAGCCAATAGAAGAACTAGACGATGGCGTAATACTTCTCAACGACTTTGACGGAAATGTAATAGCAGACAACACTACTCGCAACCTAAAAGGCACCTTCGTAATTCATTTTTTCAACGATACCATAAATATAAACGGAAAGAACTACACAAATAAGAAAAAACAATAACAAGATCTGAAATACCACGAATCCTGATAAAACCAATAGAAGCCGAGCGTCTACAAATTCTGTCCTTAGAAGCCTTAAAAGCCCTACACATAAAAAATAAGAGACACCTACAAATATTAGAAAGCGATACGACCCTAAACCGAATCACAATTATCACTTTAGCATGTGTCATTGTTCTTGTTTTAATCACATTTAGAACCTGTTTCCAAAGAAAAGAAAAAGTAATTTTACAAGTTCAGGAAACACTTCCAAAAGTTCTAAATAACAAGACCAACACCATATCAACCACTAAAACAATAATACCTTAATTCAATAACATTCCATATTTCTAACTCCTCTTGAGGACAAGAAGGATTTTGAGGAGGGAGAGTTAACAACAGCAATATTTCCGCATATTTTTCTCCGAAAATATTGCAACATTGTCAAGCACAAAGTTGCAGCCCAAGTTTAATAACATAAAGTTCAATAACATAAAGTTCAATAACATAAACACGAGCATCCGGTCAGCCGCAACTAAGTACGGAATACGAATTCTGAAGACCCTGCAGATTCTGCAACCAAGCAATTTTGTCAACGCTACCAACGCCGCTGCCAGCGCCGCTGCCGCCGAAGTCAACGTCGCTGCCCCAACCCACAGCTTTAAATAGGGATCGCTATGTAGAGTAGAGTAGTTCCGATTTGTATCTCGAATAAATAAGACACCTTAATCCAATTTTTGAAGTTTTAATTATTTGGAAATTAACTTATATATTTCGGATCAGGATCACTAGCCGAGTCGATCT